AACAAACACCCCATTACCAAGTTCCTCACCAAGGTTTTGTGTCGAGGGATCCACGTACAGTTGATTAGGGAGTATAAGTCCTCAATCATTTGGATCAGCAATTAACTTACCTTACACTAATTGCTAGTAATATAAAAGGAAATTACTTTTCTTCTATCACCCTAGAGAAACCCTTTTCCTCCAACCCTACAAAATAAACACACCGAAAGATTGTTGTTCTATAATGCTTCCTGTCAACCACACATACAAGAATTAATAAAAGAAAAACACGTATTATGAAATACTAGAATCACACATTTTCAATGTCAAGTACCCACTAATTTTTTTTTTAAAGATTATTAATTTTACATGTATTTTTATCAATTTATCATTTTTTAATTAATTAAGTATGATATTTAAAAATATTTTTATAAATTAATTTTAATTTATTAAATAATAAATATTATTTATTTTATTAATTATTAATTATTTTTAATAATCAAATTAAAATAAAAATTTGACAGCTATGATACACTATCAAAAACATCGCTGGCCATATTCATGGCCACCAACAATGATGGGTTTAAATTTTTTAGAAGAGTGTGCAAAGATAAAATACTGAAGAAAATGATTCTTTCTAATTTACCCTTTTCACAATCATACTCTAGTGAAGACATCAATTGGTAGTATGTTAAGGGACTAACATATTAAGTTATAAGAGAACATTCATGATTCAACAGCAGGTTACCTAACTGAACTCTACAATTCTTCCAAGAAATTAGTCCTTGCCAAACACAGTTTTGTGCCAAAGTTCCTGGAATTTGAAAAAGCGGCTTTTTGATTAAATGGATTCATGGTTCAAGAATTCTTTGGCCACTCAACAACTATTCTACCAGAGCAGTCTTTGTTTGATGGCCAAAAAAAAAAAAAAAAACTGTTTCACACTGTCAAATTTTCTCTTCATTGAACATAGTTGGACTCAAGTTTCCAAGCAAACTTGCAACAATTGGGCAACCCATTGACGCTTCCTCTTGGCAAAGCAGCCAAAAAGTTATTGGTAGCCTGTAATATGTAGGAAAGCATCTATAGGTTAGGGAGAAATATAACCAGGAAACACTGAAACATTCAAGGATCAATAACTGATGTTCAGAAGACAGCAGGAAACATGGAAATGTGATAATAAAAAACCAAAGGACATTATATCAAAAAGCCAGAAAGCGCTTTGTGCCAGAGCAGAGAAGTACTTCTAAAAAATTGTGGACAGAACCTATGATAGTGGCTGTAGATTAAGATCACTTAATTGTTTGGGATGGGATCAGTTGTTATTCTACTAAAGGTATTCAAAGGTATCAGGTGAAGGTAACAACTAGAAGCAACAACTAATGGCACGGGGACAGAGAAGCAAGTGAAGTTAGTGAGCAGCTGGTGTCTGGATGATTAAAAGTATATTTTGCCTCTCAGACAGCTTCAGTCATCACAAGCAGCTTATACTTTGAAGGAAAGATGCTGAATATTAGGCATATGAATGACTTGAATGATCATGTAAAGATTTTACTCAGCTCCAGCAACATAATAAGATGAAAAAGAAAAACAGCAGAACAATGTGAATGTTCTCAATTCAAATTCAAAATATAGTTCAAACAGAAGAAAGAAAATACCTCACTGACAATGCTCCAGTGCAACAGTGAGTAGTTGGTTTAAGTCCAAAAAAGGCTCACTTGTTCCGTAGAGAAAGAATAGGAAGAAGCATCTAAATCTATGCGTGATCTACTTCTTTTTCTCTAATGATGTAAAGAATTCAAATGCACACAAAACTAACCACTTATATATACGTGCTTGTTTGATAACAATTATCTTTGCTTCTGCAAGTGAATATAAATTGACTAAAGGAAAGTGCTATTAGATACTAATAAATTTCAGATGCTTCCATATGGTTACCCAAAGGAAAGGAAAATTCAAATTGATGCCACGAAGATGCAAAGTGTAAGAATCACCTTGCTCCATTGCCTTGGCATCTCAGGATTAGATATTTACTTTGTTCGGGAAAATTCAACTGCCGCATTAATACCAGAAAGAACACAAGCCAGTGCAACCATCACGTCCCATTTTCTTATTCCAGTAACAGCAGTAGCAGCAGCAGCTCCTACAGCCCCCGCAATCACAGAATTTTTCTGAAGAAAAAACCTTAATGATGCTCAGAGGTTTGTTAAGCTATTCCAATGTTAAATTAATCAAGAATTAAATAAGTTACAGAAAGCTCAGTTTTCCTCAGTCTCTGTACTATTTGATGGATATACTTCTATTTATAATAAGTTAACTTCTACATTCATCACTCTCACGTCGCAACAATTAAGGATTTGGAAATCTATGGATGACTCTCACATGCATTTTGGGACCTGGACCTTCAAAGAAATTAGACACATAAGTTTCTAAAAGTACACTTGAACCACATTAACAAATAGAAGACAATCTCATACAAGGCATGAATCAAACAGTAAAGAATCAACTGTGAGAACTAAATAGTTAACATGCAGACTGTTCAAGCAGCCTGTTGACGAGGTCATTAGAAAACTATCATATATACTCTTATCTCGTAAACCATCTTTCAACAAGTAAAAGAAAATTTTCTTGGCTGCTTTCTCTAATACAGTAGCAGAATGATTGTTTTACCAATTCCCCCCTTCAGAGCGTCCCTCCTTTCGGAAAATAAGACAAAAGATTGGGCACCATACATTACAAACATAAGCTTTTCTAATTTTCTTCTCCCAGAGACCAAAGGGCTGAAGTGCCGAAAATGAGGAAAAGTAAAATAAGAAACCATGTCAGAAAGTATGTAAACTAACCCAATCTTTTCGCCCTCTATATTGCTCAATCCAACAGTGACTCATTTGAAAGACACCAGCAATGAGTCCTGAACATTAAAAAGAAAAAGGGACTACAAATAAATAAGGTGAAAATCAGTTAAACAAAACAAATCTATCAGACTCATTGTGAGCAACAAGATATTGTCTAAAAGAAATCCTCCTAGGAGCCGAAATCACAACCATTCATTGTTATTTACTGATTGCAGGAAAAATAATACTTTGATTAATCCGAGATTAAGGTTGCTTGATCTTAATAATCAGAATGCATATCAATCAGAGTTGAAAGCTAATTACCGCACTGAAAACTGCATCTGCCTACAGACTTTGCCTGCATATTAAATCAACACAATGCAACCAAACCAAAAATAGCTTAGCCGAGTTCATTCCTAGTAAGTTAAAAACTTTGATTAAGATCAAGGTACCCATTAAAAAGAACAAAAAATTGCAGCTATCATGAAATATTAAACTTGAAAAATTCCTTACCACAAAGGAAGCTTTAGCAGCTCCTGTTAGCCCTGAAGAAATTTGTTTAGAAGGGAAAAATTAATTAAAAAAAATTAAATTACTACTATCACTTTGCTGTGGAAATAAGAAGCAAATCCAATTTATCATCGAAACTTTCATGAAAAGTAATTGCCTTTTTCACGAGCATCGTGAGGAGAAATGCAGAGCCCCCAGATTGCACCTGCCTGAAAATGGAATTTGGGGGTGTTATTCAGTAGCAGAGTATAAATAGTTTGCGAAGTCAGGGTATATAGAGGTGGATTAGTACCGTTCCGATGCGAAGGGCCGAGTCGACGGCGATGGAAGAGCATGGAACCACCTCTTCCATTTTTATGACTTCGGATTTTCGTTTATGCTCGGCGACCTGCGTCGCGGAAGCTCTAAAACGCAGCGGAGGAGCTTCTTTGTTACAGTGAATAAAATGGGTGGTGTTATTGCCACAGCCACTAATGTTAATACCACAGCTTTTTTTTAATTATTTGACTATTATACCCCTCATTTGAATCCAACTTGCAGTAGTCACCTCCTTCTCCACATGGGTTAATGGTCAATTAATTAAAAAAGCTGTGGTGTTAACCTTTGAAGCTGTGGCAATAACACCACCCGAATAAAATTGCATTGCGGGTCCCAAACATTTCTCAGAAGTTCAATTAAGGTTTTAGAGATAGACCGATAGAGTCCACAATTTTGTCTTACGCACTGAAACTGTAAAATAAGATGGTCTCCCATCCAACGTAGACCGGACAACACAATACTTTTTGTTAGGTATACTACTCTTTGTTTTATCTTGGGATGGTTTGGCAATAGCAAGTGATAATTCTAAATTTGTGACTAGGAGTAAATTGGGTAAAGTTAAGGGAGCTTAGGGCACTCGAACACCTGCGTGCAAAGAAAAGAAAAAACTTATTGGAGAGTGCATTGAAGGTTTTTTTGGTGTGCACCCTCTAATGCTTAAGTCTAATCAAATTTGAAAGGTTGGAAGAGACCGATTTAAGAAAAATGATATGTGTTCTTGAAAATTTGTCATTATCTTGGGGTGAGGTGGAGAAGTCTCTTTTGTGATTGTCATGTAATAGTGAGACCTACCAAATCACGTATATCATAAATTCCATACTTGCTATGTTAGTATAAGTAGTAGGTGTAGCAACCCATACAATTAAGACACGTGGATAGGGGACAGAAGGACATTAGCCTAACAATGTTTTTGTGTTTGACATGAATGTAGGTTGCACCTCAAAGTGTCTATAAATGGACATAGACTGGAGCCAACTATTCTTTATCCCTTGTGTCATGTTCTAGTCTTAGCCACCAAGTTTGGCTCATAGCCAACCAACTTGATCAGTTGCCCAAACTCCATCTAAAAAGCTCTCTTAGCTTTAAACTTGTAAGCTAGATCATGAGATAGGTCTTCTAGGTATTCCGGTGAGAGCTCAATTCAAGCATGTTCAAAGGGTTGTCCAACTAAGGTTAGCCATTTTGCCAAGATAAGGTGGACCAATGAGAGGTCATCAAATATAAAGTAGGTATTTAGCTAGTATCAACAAGCAATTATTATGAAAATTTATTATAATTGTTTACATATTAAATATGTGAATAAATGTTGTGAGTTTAAGTATTACATCATGTCTTTCAAGGAGTAACTTAATTGGTTAAAAATTGGAAATTTCAAATTAGAAGTTTTAACACCTAATCTTCAGTTGGATTAAAAATTTGGGGGAAAACTAGAAAACTGTCACAATCCTTATCCAAATCTGGGCCGAAAACTATTGGGCTTTAAATTTAATCCCCAAACTCGTCATGAAAGTTTTTGGGCACAAGTGAAATGACAAGCAAATTCATTTTATGGGGATTTGTGGGCTTAGTAGATGGCCAACCAGCGGCCCAGCTCACTAACATCTCTTCCTCCCAACCCAAACAACCTCGTTTATTTATGTGAACCAAAACCCTAAAACTCCATTCAGCTCCCTCCACAAATCACTATCTTCGCACCGCCGTTTTCCCGCAGCTCAGGTACGCCCTTCGCTCCCGTTTCATCTATCGGTCCATTTGATTTCGTGTTCCACTGATCGTTTGATTTCTTGAAGTGCAGAGCACTGAGGTTCGAAGATGAGTCGCGGGGCAGCAGCCGGACCCAAGGGAAAGAAGAAGGGTGTGTCCTTCGTCATTGACTGCACGAAGCCGGTGGAGGATAAGATTATGGATATCGCCTCACTGGAGAAGTTCCTCCAAGAGAAAATCAAGGTCGGCGGCAAGGCCGGTGCCCTTGGTGACACTATTGCCGTCACCCGCGAAAAGAGCAAGATCACCGTCACCTCCGACAGCGACTTTTCCAAACGGTAAGCTGTGCTTTCGTTTCGTTTTCGTTTTCATTTTCATTCTCATTTTTGTGCTTATCTGATTTTACAATCTATTACACTTGATGCTATTGATTGCCGGCGAGGAACTTGTCTGTTAAGGACGTCGGGATTTCTAGATCTGGTTAATTTTCACTAGAGTTATATTTTCTTCTAGTTTGCAATCATGATTTATCTTGTAAATTCATTCTGTAAGATAAAATGATGATCTCAGAAGCAATAGTGTGATTGGTAATTTCACTACTTTGTTGGTATAATATTTTGATTCTGCATTAAAGTTTGTTGTTCAAGTTATAAAATATATCCTGTTTGTGTGTGAACTTTTCCGTGATGAGTTGTTGAAGAAGTATAGCCACTGGGGTTTAAGGTCAATGATGATAAATCCAAAGGCTTGTTTCTCAAAACATTTGCAGTGGCCGCCTAAGAGCTTTCGCCTTCGCCAGGCTTGAGAGCTAGTGCTGTTTTGATCCTTCCTTGGATGTCTGAGGCCTTAATGCTCTTGTCTAGTCTACATTTGTTATTCTTGATGTAAATTTTTATATTGAAGAGCAAAAGAAAAGCATTATGGTTTAGAATGAAACGGTGGTTGTCAACTTTGTTTTAATACTTTTTGATATTTTCAGGTATCTTAAGTACTTGACCAAGAAGTACTTGAAGAAGCATAATGTGCGTGATTGGCTTCGGGTTATTGCGTCCAACAAGGACCGTAGTGTTTATGAATTGCGCTACTTCAACATTGCTGAGAATGAGGGGGAGGAGGAAGACTGAAGATGCAATTCAGTATTTTCTTAAACTACCTAGTTTCTTGTTTCTTAGCTCCAAGAATGTGTTTTATATTTTTTGAGATGTTAAATCCATGAACTTGTTCAGGTTGTTCTTTCAATTTTGTTTGCTAATGGTTAGATTTCTGTTTAATGTGGTTCAAGCTATTATAAAGATGCAAATTTATGCAAATTTCTTTAAAAAGTTGGTTTTGAATGCCATAAGAGGAGACATTGCTTTTTGTTGCCAACGGTTCTCTCCCGTTATGCTAACAAAGTAACAATTTACTTCATCGATAGCCTGATGCCATTCGCTATATAAATTTCTCAATTTTGATGCTTAGGCTATTCTTTCTTTGATGCAATGTAATGAAGGAATTAACCTGTAGTCTTCTCCACGAAGACAGGTCTTCTTCTCTAGAAGATACGTCCACCGGCCATGGCGGGTGATCACAGGGTGACCAGCTGGTGGCCCTCCTTTTTTATTTTTTTTGTCAAAAAGAATTGCACGAGCCAAAACCAGTAGATTAAATCTGGCCGGCCGGTGTTGGTTTTTTCTTCACAGATCTCCCATTCTCTTGGGATTTTTCTTCAGAAACCCACCAATGTTACAATGGATGGGCTGGGCATCTAAAACGCATCAAAATACTATTAGGATTTTTATAAAAAGAAAATATAGGACATCCACCAGCCCCTGGTGGATCTAGGGGGAAGCACGGTGCTTGTTACAGTGTTCTTTTTATTTTTATTTTTTTGTCATTTTGTCATTTTTATTTTTAAAATTTTTGTTGGGATAAAATTACGATTATAATCCCAATTAATTAATCAATTAAGACTATAATTTCATTTAAATCTGATAGATTTTAATGTATTAACTGGGATTAATTGTGTCTTAGTGCATCTAAGGGCTTCTTTGAATAAATTAATTTGGGAAGGGCCTTTGTTTCAAGATTTAATTAAAAAATGCTGAAAGTATATGGATTGAATGAAAAAACTCTAAAGCCATATGTTGCAGCCGAGCAGGTGATGGCGTGGGGTTCTGTTTGGAAAACTAACACGGTTTTGCTATGTAGACCATTTTGATTTGATATACTATCTCCGTGGGGCTCCTTTGGAAAACTAACAAAGTTTTGCTAAGTAGAACATTTTAATATGCTACCTCTATCCAATTTTAGTTGTCACATTAATTTTTGTACGTAATTTTAAGTGATATTTTTATATAATTTATGAATTAAAAATGAAAATTTTTTATTAAAAAATCTATTTAATTAGAATTACATATAAAGTAAACCAAAAAAAAAAGGAATTCAATTGCAACTTATATAATATATGAAAAAAATCAAAAGTTAAATGTAAAAGGTTAAACCCTTTTGTCCCTCAACTATTGTATGGACCCGCAATTGAGTCCCTCAACTCAAAAAATCCTTGATTTAGTCCTTATTGTTTCTCATTTTAACCCTAATTTTGTCCTTCCGTTAAATTTTTGATGAAGTGGCATGTTAACTAATGGCAAAAGCATGTCTTTTCAATAAATAAAATATGTGAAATTTACAACGTGACAAAAAATACATGACCTAGCAAAAAATTGTCTAAGTAATCCATAAACATAATAAAATGACCATATTACCCCTATTTTCAACCTCTGAATCGTTTCATTTTCTCTCCCATTCCTTAACACTAGATCTGGGTTCCTTTGCAAGTTCCCACTTGCTCAGTTTCATGCTTCGAGAAAACCTGGTTCAAAGAACAAAGATGTTGGTGAAATTGACGATGATGAAGAAGAGAAAGATGAGGCTGTAGATGATCAGAATGAGGATGGAGTTGAGGAAGAAGATGGATCTGGTGAGGATGAACCAGAGGCAAATGGTGATGGTGCCAATGGAGATGATGATGATAATGATGATGATGAGGATGAGGATAAAGAATATGAGGATGACGACGATGATGATGATGCTGAGGAAAAGGATAAAGAAGAAGAAGAAGATAATGATGAGCTTCCTCAGCCGCCAACTAAGAAAAAGACGAGGAACTCAACAAGTGCTGCTAGGTTCGATTGACCCAGCAACTGTTGGGTTCGAAAGAACCCAAGCCTGCTAGGTTCCATTGGACCCCACTTTTGAACCCAGCAAAAAAGAGAAATTGGAAGGGAAAATGTCTAGATCTGGTGTTGAGGGAGGGATAGAGAAAGAAAGAAAATGAAAGGATGAAATTGCATGTTTCATTGGGGGCCATTGTAGGTTTTGTCTTTAGGATTTGTAGAAGGCAAGACAAGGAAGAAGAAGGAGAAAGGGAAAAGGAAAAAAGAGAATTTTTTTTAAAAAAATTTTGTCGTATCATTATTTTTTGCTATGATGTCTTCCATGTGTATTTAATATTTTGACATGTCATCATGCTTTTGTTAGTTAACGAGACATGTAGGTGGATTTTTAATGGAGATACCAAGTTAGGGCCAAAATGGGAAATAGTAAGGACTAAATTAGGTATTTTTTTAGTTGAGGGACTCAATCGAGAATTCGTGTACAATAGTTGAGGGACTAAAATGGGGGTTTGACCAATGTAAAAAGCTAATGTGACAATTAAAATTATAGAGATTGGAAGTTACATTTAAAAGTCAATGTGACAACTAAAATTATTGAGAGTTAGTCATTTTAAGGTTCATTGATAAGTTGGGGAGAATATAAACTTTTTAAACTCAAATGATAATTAATTAGTAGATAATAGATTAAATATTAAATTTAGCCTTTGTAAAGTAAGGAAAATTAGGGGATCTTGGCCTA